GCTCTCCACAGTTCTCAACTTGGTTCTCAGCTTGGTTCCACCTAGTTTACTTACATTCTTTCCTAACTCTTTGCAGATAGGCCAGTTCCAATAATGGTGACTGGTCTTTCCACATTCTTAACTTGCTTCATGCCTCGGTTTGTCTATGTCTTTATAAAGAAAGCTTAAAGAATACTTTATATGTCTAAAAAGAATTCTATATACCCAGTATCTATAATTTTTCACTCTACACCCTCATATCCACCTTCTGTCATTACAGCCTCCCCCACAAAATAAAACACACAACAACGACAAAGCATAGAAGACATCTCATCATAGAACCTGTAGTATGTCAGTGTGTCCCACAGTATATCCTTCTGTCTACACATCCTCACTTGCAAATGTTCATTGCAATGAATCATTGGTCTGGTTAGAGACTTCTGGCTTCTGTGACACCATCAATATTGGATCCTCACCAGGACTCCTCCTGGTTATCATGTTGTTGTTGCCCTGTGTCATGGAGATCCTGCAGCTTTGGAACAGCAGGACTGGCCCTTTCGTGCATCATTCACAGATGATAGAGGTTTTGGATGGGCCAATTTAGAGCCCTGGATCTGATATTGAGTGCAGCTGAGCTGGTCAGCCTGCCCGTTCTTCCTTATCCCCAACACCAAGATAAGCTCTCCAACACTGCTCTGGCTAGACCAGCCAATGCGGCCATTGGCCGGAGGCAGGGTCAACTCTCCTCCACCCATCCCTCCAGATCCACCTCCACTGTCTGTCCAGTCAAGGTTTGGGGTCCCAGTGCTAGAGCCTGTCAGGGGCTGGGACAGCTCTTTTGATTTCACAGCATCAGGGCTGGCTCACCCATGCCTTCGGCATCAAGGCCTGCTCCACTGTATTGCTCAGGTGAGGTGCAGGGCCTGCTCTCATGAGTGTTGCAGCCAGTGAGAGGGGAAGGCTAGCTCTTATGCTTTCATGACCCCAGGGATAGCTCCCCTGGGTACTGCAGGTGTCAAGGCAGTGCAACACACACACACACACACCCCACTTCGTGCCAGACAAGGGGCAGGGTTTGGGACCCACTCACCTGTGCCCCCTCCACTGGGGCCAGCTCTACTGTGCTGCTCAGATGAGGTACAGGGCCAGCTCTCTTTTCAGTGCCTCTGTTGATGAGGGGCAGGGCCAGCTCACTGCTCTCATAGCCCTGGGGTCAGCTCTTCCCAACTCTCATGACCCTGGGCCAGCTCTCCCTTGCTCTGTCCTTAGGGCTGGCTCACCCACTCCAGCAATAGCATTTTTCAAAATTAAAGTCAAAAGTTAGGTTGAATGCTTAATAATATTTTGAAAATTCAGTAAGTAAATATAACTTAACTAAATTGATAGGACCATATGAAATATGCTATTAGAGAATTGAGACCATGGTTAATATAGATTTTTTAAGGTAGCTAAGTAGGTAAAATTAGATAAAAATTTCCATCAAGTTTTACTAGGCTTATCTTGCCAAAGCTGAACACTTTGTTTTATAATAATCAGGAAGTTGGCTGCTTTGGGAACAGAATGACTCTTTGTTCTGAGATCATCTGGTTTGATGGTTTAAAATAAATGAATTGGGGGAAAGATGATCAATACATATTGGCTTTTGTTCAAATAGAGAATGTGAAAAGAGGCCTTTTTCTTTTTCAGCCTTGCCTTACACCCAGATAAAACTCTGATTGCAACTGGCCAAGTTGGGAAGGAGCCATATATATGCATATGGGATTCCTATAATGTCCATACTGTGTCTATTCTTAAAGATGTCCATACACATGGAGTTGCATGCCTGGCTTTTGACTCGGATGGACAGGTGCGTATCTTTCTAATTTATGTTTTCTTTAATATGTCCTTAAATTTACCTAAAACTGTAATACAAACAGCTACCAACATTTGCTGCTTCCCCTTGGCAGCCTCCCAGAATTCCTCATTGTTGGCCCCTTTCGAGCTAATGGTGTTGGTTCATCCCTCGCAACAGGCTCCAGCTTTGGTTTTCCTGTTCCCATCTTACTATCTGGTTAAAAAGCTCTGTAAAGGAACTCGTACAGTTAGGTCTAGTAGGGTTCAGCAACCCTATCTTGTCACCCATTATTAGCATCCCACCTGGGACCTATGCTGAGCCAGGCCGCTTGCATAGACCTCACGTCCTGGTCAAACGCTGTTCTGGGTTTCGGCTGGTCACTGCATCTCCTAGGAATCCATTCAAGACTCCTTTTGATTCTACCTCGAGGTTACTCCTTATTCCTCTTTCTTTCCACCCACCAGTCTTCTTCTAATTCAAGCAGTCAGAGATTCCTGTGTGTTTATACTTTCCTTTTTAAGAACTCTAACATGTATCCCACCCTTCCCCCACTTTTAGGCCCAGCCCTTCACACTCTAAGTCAGAGCCGTGTATAATGTTATTTAAACACTGTCTGAATTAATGTCCTCATAATTCCTATTTATTTAATTATTTAACTTACTATTTCATGAATATGTATGTATGTGTATCACATTCATGCCTGGAGTTCAGAAGAAGGCATCAGCTCTCCTAGAACGAGAGTTACAGATGGCTCTGAACCACTACATAAGTGTGGGAAACAGCCTGAGGTCCTAGAGCACAGACAAGTGCTGTAGGCCACTTAGCCATCTCTCTAGCTGCTGCTGCTGCGCAGTTTCTTAGTCATTCATTCCAGCAGCTGAAAATGTCAAAGTATCTTAAAGCCAGCAAAGCTTAAAGCAGCATCGAACGAAGTACAAACACTGAGGTAAGCGTTCTCTGTTAACTGGCTTTTCTACCCACATTCTCCACATAATCAGGTAAGTCAGAGTGGACTGTGCCTTTGTAGTTACATGCCCTGAGTCGTGTTCCAATCCTCATCTGAAGTTCGCTATTTGCCTGCTTTGACATATTTTGAAAACACCATAAGGGTATGAAACATTCCCAGTCCCCACAAGTTATGTCTCCCTCCTTGGACATATAACACTGGCAGAAAGGATGCTGGTATATCTTTAAAGGGTGAATTGGACCACAGAGGGCTTCTTCCTGGCCCCAGCTGCATTCACACTTTGCTAAGCCTACAGCTTTCCTCTCCAGCCTTCCCCCTGTCCCTGCATAGTGTCCCCTCTGCTGTCTCTTTCATCCTTTGTATAGTGATTATTTTATTCAATCAGTGTTTAGCTAATATCAGTGTTAATTCTGAAAGTCAGTGCCATAGAAAAACCAATGAAATTATACCTAGACATTTACCCAAACTAAGAGCGGAAGAAAACCCCTATGTGGCAATGAGTTGGCCTGACTTGAATCATTTTAAGGTAATTAATATTGTGCCATCTTCCGCTGTTGTGAGAGAGAGAGAATTGGGACTGATATGAAAGGCTGACTGGAATGAGTTATGCACAGTGTGAGTGGCCACAGACGTAGGCTGACATGACCACTGACATGCATGTTTTCTCACTTTTTAATCTATTTTAGCAAGCATCTATACCAAATTTTGTTTTACAGTATCACAAACATCCTTGGCACTGGAAGGAACTCCAGCTCTGACCATGAGTTCTTTGTTCTTTTTACTTATCCTTTTTTCCCGTCTTGTTCATCCATTTCCTTTTGGAGTCCTGGCTATTTCTCTTGAGGTTGTATTTTGACAGGCAGGGAACTGTGTGGACTGTGTGGTTTTTAACTGTCAACTGAGAAAAGAGACCTATTAGCCATGATGGAGATCTCAGCTCGCTGATGCGTCTTTCCTTAGGCCTGCTGTATTCTCTGACAGAGTTCACTGAACTCCAATAATACTGAGGAAATGGCAAATCCATCATTACCTCATAATTGACAAAGGCAATAGAAATGCTATCCCAGGAAGCTGTGAGGCCTGTCACTATAAATGAACAAAGCAGGTTTCTTTTGTTTTGTTTTTTAAACTCAGGAGAAGTAACTGTAACTGCTAATGTTTGTTAACTGATTTTCCATTAAAAATAAGCTGAATAAAATTCACCCTCTCCAATATTCTTGTATTGATAAAAATATAAATCATGTTTTATAATTTAGTTAATTTTTAAGAGTTTGGAACTTTTTACTAGAAAAACCATTGAGTACTGTAAGCAGGGCAGTATGTCCATATGGTTGAACCTTGGAACACAAGACTGCTGAGAGGAGCCTGGACAATAGGGGTTTGGCTGATAGGGCTTCAGACAGGAACAAAGATTCTACCGGGAACTGCATGGGAGGTCATTGATGTGGTACTCTAGCAACGCATCTGGCTGCATCCACCTGAGTCCTGACCTTGAGTGAAACTGAATACTAGAGTAATGAGTAATTTGTTTGGTGGAGCAAAGTTCAAGGCAGGATAGCATTCAGGTTGTGGCGTGATTATCCCTCATCACCCTTATCCAGCTCAGTGCAAAAGAGGAACAAATGGAACAGAAAGAATTTTTAAAACACATAATTTGATGAGAAAAAGACCTTAACCAAGTTCAAAGTTGCTGCCAAGGTGTGTGCTGAAAAAAAGAGACTGAAACTTCATGAGAACCCACCGCTCTGCACAGGTCACTGAGAATGAGAACTTACTGCTCTGCACAGGACACTGAGAATGAGAACCCACCGCTCTGCACAGGACACTGAGAATGAGAACCCACCGCTTCCCACTGGACACTGAGAATGTGAACCCACCGCTCCCCACTGGACACTGAGAATGGGAACCCACTGCTCCACACTGTTCACTGAGAATGAGAACCTACTGCTCTGCACACGACACTGAGAATGAGAACCCACCACTCTGCACAGGACACTGAGAATGAGAACCCACCTTTCTGCACAGGACACTGAGAATGAGAACTCACTGTTCTGCATAGGACACTGAGAATGAGAACCCACCGCTCTGCACACGACACTGAGAATGAGAACCCACCGCTCTGCACTGGACACTGAGAATGAGAACTCACTGTTCTGCACTGGACACTGAGAATGAGAACCCACCGCTCTGCACACGACACTGAGAATGAGAACCCACCACTCTGCACACGACACTGAGAATGAGAACCCACCGCTCTGCACACGACACTGAGAACTTGCCCCATGAACTCCACAGCAAGACTCCACTCATTAAAGGCCCCAACCATGAAAATTAATTTGGAACAGTGGAGCCTGTGCCTTGAAGGAACATGGAAAATGCAAGTCTGAGCTAGTCATAAAATCTTTGATGGAGAAACACTGAGCCCAGGCATCATGTCCTGCAAGGAGGTCCTGAAAAGGCCATTGTGTGCGGCTGAAGCATCAGGTACAAAGGAGGTCCCAGAATATTGGAGATGTCACAACCATGGCACATCTGTTGAGGACAACTTCAGGCACAAAGTAGAGATGGGCCAAGAGAGAGAATGTGTGCTGCAGGTAACAGAGCTGGAGGTAGAGATACTCAAGCCTTTTAGGACTTGGATAATTCTAGCACAAGCCCCAGATATTAGATGTGAACTTCGGGACATGGTCTTTTCCCTGTTGGGTTTCAGTCCTTCCTGGTTCAGCCTTTCCCTATGGCGTTCAGTTTCTTCTCTTTGGAATGGAAGTGTTTACACTGTGCCTTTGCACATTAGAACTGTGCAACTTTAAAAAATTGTACAGGGCTTCACAGTTAAGAGACTGCTCAACTTTCTGGAGAAACTCAGCCATTATACCTATTAACAGTGTTAGACCTGTAGACAACTTTGGTGGGAATTTTCAATGCTGAACTGAATACATTTGTATAGATGGCTGTGAGCCTGTGGGACCAAGGAGAAGATTATGGCAGAAAAGTGGTTTGTTTGGGTATAAGTCGATGAGGGGTAGAGTAGTAATGGTTAATATTGTCAACTAGACACAGTTTTAGATCACTTAAGGGACGAGCCTCTGGTGTGCCTGTGAGGGAGTATCTAAATTAGGTTAATTGAGATGGAACTGTGGGTAGTGCCATTCTGTGAGCTGGTGCCCTGGACTGAGTAGAAAGGAGAGAACCAAGAATGAGCATTCTGCTTCCTGACTTTGGGTGCACTGAGACCCTCTGTGACCTGCTTCTGCCACCCCCTTCCCTGCCACGATAGACTGTATCCCTAGAACTGTGAGCCAAAACAAAGCCTCAATTCCTGAAGTTGCTTTAATCAGGTATTTCATCACAGCAACATAACGGATAGGTAATAACTCTGAAACATATTCCGTGAGCAATGTGAGCCCACATACCTCTCTATTACCACAGTCAGAATCACTGGATTTCTGTGAGTTCACCTAACTCATGTAGTTTGACAAGGTAAATGCTAATTTTGTACTCATTTCACAAATGAGAAAACTAAGATTTATGGAGGTTGATTAATTTCCCAAAGTATTTTTGTTGTACCCGATTATTTATGCATCTCTAAAGCCTCATCAGAGAAGTTTATTTTTGCAGTAGATGGTGATTAACACAGAGATCACAACTGTCCGAGACAGAAAAAATAGGAGACTGAAGATTGCTCACCCCTAAATGGAGCATATTTGATCTATTCCAGGCCTGAGCATCATTGGGGATGAGGGGCCATGAACATTGTAAGGGTCGGATGCAGTGGAATACAAGGAAATCCTCTGGACACACCAGGGCAGCTATACATGTGAACTCACAGTAGAGGTGATGGCACACACAAGACCTGTGCAAGGCCGAGCCAGACAAACCCAGGGTGGTGAGGGCAGCTGAACACAAAATTCTACCCCTTTCTATGCTCTTGGCAATTGTTAGCTGTTGGGAGAGAAAGAATAAATTTTCTCTAAGAATGTAGCCCCTGGTAAGTCAACTGTACTCTAGTAGGTGGGAACACATCCAGGAATATTTGGGCAACACAAATTAGTCTTGAGGGGTGGGGAAAATCAAAAGACACAAAGTTGGGTGAATAGGGAAGGGAGAAGTGGATATAATCAAAATACACATATGAAATTCTCAAAAGATAATAAATTATCTTACATTTCCAAGGCCTGCTATCTGGCTAATTAGAAAACAAAGATGCTGAGTTTACTTACTCTGAGCCAAGACCTCTAACATGGTTCTACCTCCTAAGAGGCGGCCTACAAGAACTCCTGCATCAGTGTTACATACACCTACCTGCCTTTGATACTTTTCATTTTGCCTGTATTAAAAGTTGAGTTTGACTGTGAGGACAAGAAACTGATTTGACCTCAAAGGATGAGTAGCATATAACATGTCCCTTTTATTAAGATTATATACCCTTATGCACTTGAGCTGTTTATGAGATTATATAAATTAAGGACAAAATCAGGCTCATTTATTGGATTTTTTTTTCTGTATGTGTTTGTCAGACTCTTCAAATTGTACAGTTTCATGAAGAAGCTTAGACTGTGGAATTCATACTTCCCTAAATCTTGCAGTAAAACATTTGAGTATGGTGGCTCACATCTATTATCTCAGCAGTCAGGTGGCTAAGGCAGGAAGATGACCGTGAATTTGAGGCCAGCCTGGCCTATACCATGAGTTCTAGGTCAGCCTGAGTTAGAGTGAGATCATATGTCAATTTTTTTTTAGACAGGATTTCACAATGTACTCTAGCCTGGCCTATGATTCACTAAGTATCCCAGGCTAGCTGTGGAGTTATAAATCCTCCACCTCAGCCTCCTGGGAGCTGAGCTTCCAGGTATGAGTCATCATTCTGATCTTTCACAGTAGAAATTTAAATGATTATTAATCCCTGCCTTCAAGCTGTGTTCTCAAGAATTTTGCTGGCCTGTCAGCAACTTTACAGACTTTGCACATTTGTATCCTGTGGTTAAGAAGGATGAATGAATGCAATATTGTAGGACTGCAGTGTCTGTGTGATCTCCTGGAGGCCATCTGCAAGGATACAGGACTGCAGTGTCCGTGTCATCTACTGGAGGCCATCTGCAGGGATACAGGACTGCAGTGTCCGTGTCATCTACTGGAGGCCGTCTGCAGGGATACAGGACTGCAGTGTCCATGTGATCTACTGGAGGCCATCTGCAGGGATACAGGACTGCAGTGTCCGTGTCATCTACTGGAGGCCATCTGCAGGGATACAGGACTGCAGTGTCTGTGTGATCTCCTGGAGGCCATCTGCAGGGATACAGGACTGCAGTGTCTGTGTGATCTCCTGGAGGCCATCTGCAGGGATACCTTTAGTGTGGGGATTAGGGTGGGTTTGGGTTCAATGCCTAGTTCCTAGTAGACAATCAGTAACTATTCATTGAAAGTAGGTGTGAATAACAGGAAATCATCTCATTACTGTCAGATATTAAATTATTCAAATTATTCTTTCTTTTGTTTTCTTTTTTCTTTTTTCCTCTCTGTTTCTTCTTTCTTTCCTTCCTTCTTTCTTTCTCCCTTCCTTCCTTTCTTCTTCTTTTTCTTTTCTTTTTCCTTTTTCCTTTTTTCCTTCAGCATTTAGCCTCTGTGGGATTGGATGCCAAAAACACAGTCTGCATTTGGGACTGGAGAAAGGGAAAGCTTCTGGCCTCGGCTACTGGCCATTCTGACCGGGTAAGATCTTTGTGGAAATGTAGAGTAACTGTCATTTTATGTCTTTAAAAGTAAATTTGCCATATATAAATTTTCTCCAATGTGTTTAGCTGATTAACATGATTTACTTAGGATTAACGGTTAACTCATTATTCATGAGCAAAGCAGATTTTCAGTGCTGGAGTTTGGCTCCTTATAAACTCAAAATAGAACAGAATTTGAAATCATAGTAGTTTGACTCCTGGAAATGGTTGTTAGAAAAATCCACAAAAATATTACTCTAAGTGTTTGTATTTGATTTGTGATTTCTTAATGCTGAGTGTAAGCCATGGTCTGCTTGTCATTACTACTGAGTTAGTGTGATCAGAAATGGCAATCCCACGCAGGCATACCTGGCGAGAGAAGGGATCACACGGGCACAGCCTATACCTACCTGGTCAGACACTAATTTCTCTGTGGACTACATAATTCAATAACCTGATTTCTTTCCTGCTTTGCTTTCCAGTTTCTTACCTTCCTTTTTTTGTATTTTTTGTAATTGTCCATCTCTAATGAGGCCTAATCAAACATCAAAGTCATCATCTTGCTTACTAAGAGTTCTGAACACTGTTTCTAATGGTGTGTTTACAAGATAAAGGAACCTCATACTGGTTGCAAGTTCCTTTCCAGAATCAAGGCTTCAGAAAACCCCAGCGTGACCATTAGTAGAACTCAAACCAAGCGTTGGAAGAGGATCAGGGCACCTTTGATCAGCTGACTCCTAACAGTAACTGCATGTGTGACACTCATAAGGAGCTTTGCAGCCTAATGATGAGGGCTCTGCTCTCAGGGATTTGAATTTTATTGAAAGTGTTTTCTGTTGCTGTGACAAAATGCCTAAGAAAATAAAAGAAGAAGGATTGATTTTGGCTCATGGTGTCAATGGTGTTGGTCCAGGCTTACTTAGCTGCTTCCTGTAGTGAAGCAGCACATTGTTGGCAAATCAGCTTGGCAGCCACAAGCCTCTCCTCTCAGAACCAGACAGGGCAAGAAACCTGGAACAAATCACATACTCTTCAGAGGCACCCTCCACATACTGACCCACTTCTGCCAACTAGCCTCTATCTCTTGATGAACTCTGCTCCAGTGAACTCATCAATAGGTAATAAGATTGGCACCCTGTGATGCAGCCACCTTTCACCAGTGATCCCACTGGGGAAGTGCTCAACAGCGAGCCTTCTGAGGTAATAGGTGTAAGCTGTAGCTACTTTGTGTGAAATGCTTAGGTTAGAAGTTATAGATGTCTCCTCTTTCGCTCCAGCCGTATCCCGTGAGGTGAGGTGAGGTGGATTGATTGACACACTAGTTTCCTGTGATCACAAAAGATGGACTTGAGACCCAGGATACAAAACCGTGATGTAACATTGGGTTCTGTTGAGAGGGAAGTATTTCATCCAAGTTATTTTGGAATTAGCTACTTGTGTTTCCGACCTAACCTGAATTAATACGTTGTTTGTCACATGTGTTTGTCACATGTGTTGACCTTGGGGAAAATAGTAGATTAAAGTTGAAAATATTTTTCATTGTTGATATCGTCTTAGAAAGACTAACACCACCCTGGCTTATGTGTAAAGTGTTTGGTCAGGTTGTGGGATTCCTAGTAAAGGAAACTTAGCTAACCTGCCTTCATACCGTGAGTCTCTGGATATAGAGGGGTAGTGCTTTGGAAAGTAAACAAACCAAAGGCTACCTTTAGAGGATGTTTTCATAACAAATAGCCAATCACACGCAGAGATGCCTAAACAGCACCAAGCAGCGTTTGCACCTCCTCTGGTTGGTCTGTACATCCTGATCGTGCATGTAGGGGCGTGCTGCTACTTTTGAGGGCCATCCACTTTGCAAAAACAGTCCTCTGCTCAATTAAATGCTGTTAAGTTTAATTTGTCTAACTGTCCTCTTTTAGTACTACTAAATGTCACATGGTATACCTGTCTGATATCAGTGACTGTGCCCCTTTGCACTGTCACACTTAATAGTTAGGGGCACGTTATTAGTTTAGTGAGAATTTGTTACTGGTGACCTAGCAATAAAGTCTGGCTCTGGGTCCAAACACTTGCCAAATTAAAATTAAAAGAGAATGGCTATATGCATGCGTGTGTGCGTGCATGCATTTGTGTGTGCATATACATGTATGTGTGTGTATACATGTATGTATGTTTGTATGTGCATGTATGTATGTATATGCATATGTGTGTGCATGTATGTGTGTGTGCATGTATGTATGTGTGCATGTATGTATGTGTGTGTGCATGCGTGCATGGGTGTGTGTGTCTGTGTGTGTGTGTATGTGTGTATGTATGTGTGTGTATGTGTGTAAAAAGGAATCTCTTTCCAGTTTTGCCCCAAACAGGAGGGAATAATTCTCACTCTACCTCCGCCTTTCACTGTAGTGCTTACAACTATGGAAAGATTAGAACAGAAGCCTAGACTTGTGCATCTCTGGGCTGTGAGATAAGTCTTTCTCACATGCCAGGAGTCAGGGCAGCTGCTTTGACTCCAACATGGTATATCTGTAGGGAGCTGGAGGTGAAAAAGACAATCTTCAAAAATATTTTTTAATGCTTAGGACTCAGTTGCAGTGTGAATCTAGAATGTTTTGAGAGAGGCTCCTTAATCAGTACCACGTAGTTTTATTCTTCATTACTGATGCCTTGGTGCCAGCAGGAATAACTGCTTTCTTATGATTAACTTCAGGAGATTATTATAGTGGCTAAAGGCTTATTTACATGTGTTTAATGGGGTTTTATATTCTTCAAAATCATTTCATCTACATTATCTTAACTGACTTCACAACAGAACCAAGGCTGTGCTGCTAGTTTTTAAAAAGATGAGATAACAGTTAGAGGTACGGAAACCAGATGCTAAAACGGACATGTGGACTAAACCTGTCTTCTTCAGAGCTCTCTCTGGAGTCCATTTATCTTCTTCCTGGGTGATAGGAAGTGATGGCTGGGTTCTTTCTCCTTTTGGCCCTGACAATTGGTCCTTCCCTCTCTTTCCTTCCTTCCTTCCTTCCTTCCTTCCTTCCTTCCTTCCTTCCTTCCTTCCTACCTTCCTTCCTTCCTTCCTCCCTCCCTCCCTCCCTCCCTCTTTCCCTCCCTCTCTCTCTCTCTCTTCCTTCTGTCCCTCCTCTTCCCTTTTCTTGTCCATCTCCTCTCTCTTTTGATTCTGTTGCTTGATAATTTCTTTCCCCCCCCAACATAATGTTTTTAATTGGGGATTTTATACAATGCCCCCAACCACTCTCACTTCCCATTCCTTTTTATCAACACTTTACAGAACGTGGCTCGTGGACCACCTGCTCAGAACATTCTGAAATCTGCTTTTAAATGCCAATAACAGAACTCATTCTATACCAGTAGCTTGGATGGGCCTTGGACATGTGTGTCGTCAACACTCACAATAGGTGACTTAGCTTTCAAGGTTGGCAAGGGGTATTTTCTGTCTTCAAAATGGAACTAGAACTCGTGGCAAACTGTCTCATAGTTCTTCATAGAGATTGAAAAATAGTGCTAACTGGTATGTTTTCAGTTCTTTGGAAATTTGAAAGTATAACAGTTTTGGGGTCGTTTTAAATTATTTAAAGGACTGGAATGATCTGGTTCTGAGTAAACAGCTTCTTTCATACTTTCTGTTACTCTCAGGGTATTGATCCACACTGAAGTGTAGCTACCCATTAAATACACTCCCAAGTTTTATAATTCTAATTTTTATTGCAAAGCTATCTCCAAAGTGTTTTATCAGCAAAAGTACCCTAATTGTCAAAAGTTTGTTTTCCACAAATGGAAATTTGTAATGGACACACCAGTTGTACTCAGAGACTAAGGTGAATTACTTGTCTGCCTGGGCTGAAGGTAAGTAACCTCGAGGGCAGAGGTCAGCCTGTCCTGATGGGTTCTTAGAGCTGGGTCCTCCATTTTCATCTCCTGCAGGCCACATTAACCAGTGTATTAGGGTAGAGTCTTTGTGATTGCATTGGTCTCTGAAGAACATTTAATTTCTTGACAGATTTTTGATATTTCCTGGGATCCATATCAGCCAAATAGAATGGTTAGCTGTGGTGTGAAGCATATAAAGGTACGGCAGCTTTTCCTTTGCGATTAAGTTCGGTATCTTGTGTTCTTGCATGAAAAAAATAGGTGTTAATACAGATGATTTTTGTATGTTTGATTTTTCCTTTTTAATTTTATGTGCTTTTGTGTTTTGGCTGCATGTGTGTCTGTGTCGGATTCCCTGGAACTGGAGTTACAAACAATTGTGAGCTGCCATGTGGTTGCTGGGACTTGAACTCTGGTCCCCTGGAAGAGCAGAGCAGTGCTCTTAACTGCTGAGCCACCTCTCCAGACCCTGTTTTATTTTTTGCTTTTTTTTTTTTTATTTTTTGAAGCAGGGTTTTTCTGTATAGCCCTGGCTGTCTTGGAACTTACTTTGTAGGCCAGGCTGGCCTGGAACTCAGAGATCCTCTCGCCTCTGCCTCCAGAGTTCTGGGATTAAAGGCGCGCACCACCACGCTCAGCAATACAGGTGTTTTAAAACATGGAATCTTAGAAATATCAGGCAACTTCTGATTAGTGCTAAATAAACCAAACTTCTTGTCCAGCTACCGCTGGACACTTCACTTGACTGTCATTGTTTTTCAATCCTGAAGCATAGCCCCTGTCTAAATTAGTCTGAATAAATAAGACAGTGAAAATGACCAATAACTTCAGGATAAAAACTAATTAGGAGGAAGAATATGCACTATATACTAAAGCATATTAGAAGTTATAATTAAAATGATATAGATAAAAAATTTTAAAGCAGCAAAGTAAACAATTTGTGACAGTTTAGTTAGACACGGTGGCATCTCTAACCAACAGTTTAGAATATGGTAGTATCTCTAATCACTAGGTATTAAAACTATTTGAATGGGGAGTGTAATATTACTTCATACCATACACGAAAGTAAATTCTAAGCCAATTAAAGTGTGAAATATTTAAGAAACCACAGGTAAATAAAAGCGTATGGTGCTTTCCTGGGTGATGTAAAAAAAAAAAAAAAAAGGCTGCTTCCATGTTGGAAAGGCATTCGTAAACCAGAGGACATTTGAACACGTGTAGTTAGATGGAGGAGATTAGGAGAGGTCACAAGGGAAAGCCTGTGAACTAGGGCAGCTGCAGGGTTTCAAAGCCTCCTCCCCACACAGACAAAAACACCCACCTAGTTCCTGTTTTATCCAGTTACAATTTTTGCAGAGGCCACCAGAGGGCAGAAGCAAACCAGACCAAGAGCTAAATAGCTGGATACATTCCATCTTTGTCTTTTCTAGAAAATTTATCAGGGAAACACCATCAGACGGTTGGAAAAAATATCTTTGCATTGTTGCAGTATGTCACACAGCCTCGACATACAGAACCTTCTATAAGGTCACCTTTTATAAAATAAAGGCCCTGGAGGACTCTTTCTCTACAAGAAATATTTAAGGAAATGTGTAACTGCTCCTAGGCTGTGGAAAGGTCCTCTTCCATATGTACATGCAGAAAGAAGCTGTAATGATAATATTGGTATACAGACATATAAATTAACATATACTATGTATTTGCTCTCCCTGGAGGAAAACCACATGAAAGGAAGAATAAAGGACAAACTAGATATTAATGTTTTCATGGAATATAAAGACAAATCTACAGCTTAGACAATATGGATAACCAATAAAAATAGGAACAGTTTTGATCATTAGATGCACGAAAATGCTAGATCTTATAGAATACAGACTTAAAAAATAATTAACTATGTTAAGATCATTATTACATTGTATCTGGTGCTGACAAAGATTCAGTGAGGGCTGATCCTAAGCTTGACTGTGGATGGATAACTTCAGTCTTTCTGACCGGAAGTTTGGCAGTATTTGATAGCTCTAAAAATGTCTACCCCCTCTAGTCCAGTAATTTCAAAATGTGGAGTTTCTCCCAAGTGACTTGTGAGGAATGTGAACTAAGAACTGATTCATTGCTGAGTAACTTCCAATAGCAAAGCCAAAATGAAGAAAACCTGAGGCTGCCCAGCTCCCCATGGTTAAATAAAGTACACAGCATTCTTATGATGCTATGTACAATCATTGTAAGTCATGGCTTAGATGGATACTTAATGATACTGGGAAATATTCAAAATGTGTTTTCCATGGGCAGTCGAGTCTTCTGTGGCTCTGACGTTTTTATTTACAGAGGAATGGTTTCATTGTGGCATTACCATGTCACTGTGCTCTGTTCTAATTCCTTCCCTCCTGCAGAGCCTTCTGCCTGCCTTGCTGGTTTTTTCCTCCCCATTCCCTTTCCTGCTCTCTTGTCACACATCAGTAAGTGCCACCACACTATTTTACCCTCCCTCCCTAACCTTTCCTCCCGCTTATGCCCACCTTCCCAGTCTCATTACCCATCAGTATACATATACAAATATAACACTTTAAATCTAGTTCCACATATGAGAGAAAATGTGTACTTTGTCTTTCTGAGTTTAGAATATACCTCTCATCTCAGCTCTTAAGGTCAGTGAACTGCCTGCCTTCCCTCCACAGACAGATGTTATTAAAAAGCACTCTTACCCTTAGCAGTAGAGGTAGAGATTGGTGAACCTGCATATTGGATTACAACCCATCAACAGTTCATCACCAACTCTGAAGAGATGTACTGGCTCATGCCCTCTCCTCACCGTTGCCCCCTAAATTTTTAAAATATATATTTGTTTAGGAAATATCACTAAACATTAAATTGTTGACTCTGGGTAAAATTAGTGGATGATGTCAAACTTTTCTCTTTTATACTTTTTAAATTATTCCAAGATAACTAGCATTGCTTACGTTTTTCCGTTTCTTGTGTATGTTCATGTTCTAGCGTGTGATTACATAATCTCCTCAAGACTTACTTTCTTACTATGGAGGCTCCTACTTCCAGAATTCACCACTGAATGGTGGAACCAGTATGGCCATAGTAATGTTTTCTTCTTTATTTCCTAAAATGGCCAAAAATGGCAGACGTAAGAATTACACACATCCTTTGGCCATCTGTGTAGACGACCTGTTACCTTCCATGGTCTATCTAATGGTTCAACTTTCTCCCAAACCCACATTTACTGGACTCTTAACTAGATGGGCGGCTTAGTGAAAGGTTTGTCCAGACTCCTGTTTCTGTCTGTGCTTATTTTACTTCAACTTTTAATCAATTTTAAGAGCAGAGACAGGAAAAAAAAACCTTAGAGTTATGTTTGCAAACACTAAGACTCCTTGCCATGTCAAACTTGTTAGTGGGTTTAGGCATTTTTCCCTAAGCAAGACACACATCTGTACCTCAGTGGAAGAAGCTGCACATGTCCACAGCCACCCCTTACTTATCCTTCTGAAAAATAAATCTAGGATAAACCAGTCTTTAAAAGATTTTTCTAAAATTGTAATTATGTGTATCTGTGTGTCTTTGTATGTGAGTACAGGTGCTTACAGAGCCTGGGTCCCCTAGAATGGGAGTGACAGGTAGTTGTGACCCTCTGGGTATGTGTGGGTGCTGGAAACCAAATTCATGTCCTCTGCATGAGCATAACATGTTCTTACCTTCCGAGCCATCTTTTTAACAAAAATTGGTTTTTATAAGTTATTTTTACTTTTAATTCTGCCTACACCTGGAGTTAATGAAGAAAGATTAAATTGGAAGTGGAGAGTAAAAGGCTGCATTTCCAGAAAACCCTTGGTAGGAAATTTCTGGAGCCAGGGTAAAATAATACCTGATTTTGTAAGTTTCATCTTTCCTCTCCTGCAGGCACAAAATATTAGGATTGCCACTGATTTTTTTTTCTTCCATACATTCTTGCCCCTTAGAGTCATCTAATCTTGCTCTCCTAGGTGAGATGTAGTTTCTTGCCGGCTATGATCCTGTTCGATTCATGTACTGGATCTTGGTTCCTATAGCTGTTCACTGGCCCCGCCTCTTGAGTATAGTCTGAGTATGTTGTTACAAAAGCCTTGTTTGTTGTTTCACACACCCTCTTTCTTAGTTGTGGTTCTCAAAGTAGTGACCAGGTTTCTCTGGTTCCTCATGTATGAACTTTACAGAATCCGCATCTTTTGAAAAGTATTTCTGCCTGCTTTCCCTCATTTGCATATGAGGCAATAGCAGAATCTGTCCTAACCTGTGCTCAAGAGTGTTTCGAGATTAAACAGCAGATGCAGACGGCATCTGGAGACTGTGAGGGCTAGGTAGTGGCACCAGAGTTACACCAGTTCATACATTAGGAACTGCATCAAGGAAAAATGCTGGACTTCTGTATAACTGTGGTGGTGTCCCTGCTGTCATCTACAAATCTTACAAGCTTTAAGCTTGCCATCTTCCACAAGATCTGTGCAAACAAAATGGAGAAGCCTGGGTGATTGTGTGCCTTTGTGAAGTATCACTTGTATTTAGAAACATATGTGAACAATTCTATAGTTTTAAAAAAAAAACCTTGTAATGCTTTGGTTAAAAAGCAATTATTTTTATTGCCACCATGATCTAACCAACTCCACCAACCAGCCTACAAAGCAGATTTTAAAATATACATACGTACTTTAAAATGGCTAGGTGATGTAGGTTATGTTAATATGAAGTTATTGCTAATGAGTTTTATGTAATACATTAATATGTACACACACACATCACATCACGTTTTCTATGTAGGGCCTTATTAAGTAGTTCTGGCTTGCCTGGAACTTGCTATGTAGACCAGGCTAGCCTCCAGTATGGAATGTTCCTTCTTCCTCTGCCTCTCAAGTTCTGAGATTACAGGCATATGCTCCAGATGTGGTTTTCTTTTTATACTTATCTATATTTTTGAACTTTTCTACAATCTATATTCATTTGACAAAAGGCCAGTTCCATTCTGTGAACACTGGGGTCATTTAAATGCCATTAAACATTAACATTTTGAAATTTTAGAGCTTTTAAAGTTAAAAGATATCATTGTGAGTTTTTCTTAGGCTTCTAGAAGTATGCAGGGTTTTTCATGGTTCTCCACTGACACAGAGAAACTATTTATGTTCAGTTCAGATAAAGTATATTCTGTAAAATTACTGAAAATACCAGTAACACTCTATTTCAGCATATATTTATTTTATTACTTCCTAGTTTTGGACACTATGTGGAAATGCCCTGACTGCAAAAAGAGGGATATTTGGCAAAACAGGAGATCTTCAGACTATCCTTTGCCTTGCATGTGCCAAAGAAGACATCACATACTCTGGTGCTTTAAATGGTGACATCTACGTCTGGAAAGGGCTCACCTTAGTCCGCACTATTCAAGGAGCACATAGTGTGAGTATCACCATATGGGGCTGTGGGATGATGTAATGAGGGGTGACGTAATACGGCATGATGTAATGAGGGGTGATGTAATACGGCATGATGTAATGAGGGGTGACGTAATACGGCATGATGTCATGTGAGGTGATGTACTGAATGGGTTAAGGCCACACATCTCCATGTTTCTGCCCCTTGCTTTACAGTTACTTCAGCAAACAGTTGTGTGCACATACACATACACATACACATACACATACACATACACATACACAT